ATAATCTTTAAACAAACAAACAAAAAGCAAAACTTCATTTGATGTTTACTTTTAATTTTAAGACCACTTACTACTTCAGGAAACACTATACTTTATTTGTCCAATTTAAATTCGTTTGACGAACGAAATATGCATTTAAAAATCTTCTTTAACTATCATAGTTCACAGTGACAAAACAACAGGCCTGTGGCTACCTTTTCGTGGCTTTTCATATTTATAATCCAATAAGCTTAAACTCTTTTTAAAATCCTGTCCCCACCTGGGTAACGTACACAGCGCCAGGGAAATGATACAATACCCAGTGTCTTTCACCATACCGACAATGTTTGAAAAACAGTTTAGAAATTTTCTTTCTCCACAAAAATTTTTAATTTTGGATCAGGACTTGTAGTCCTTTTGCGAATCAGAATTGTGTACTATAACAACTTGTACTTTACTGAAGAATAGAATAAAAAGATATAACTAGCTAAAAACTAGTGTGAGCTGCGTCGGTGTTTCTAATGAAACAGTAATGATGAAAAGGTAAATTATACACCGTGAAAAGATGAANAAAAAAAAAAAACACAACAATTAACAACAACAATGGAATGAGCATTAGAAACAGATCTACAGCCACATTTCTTTGTCTTCTTTTCTTTCTTAAATTTAGCTGGATTCAGTTTGATTTTCTGTGCCGTGAATAACAATCAGGGCTCGGTATATTATTCGCTACTTATAAAAAAATACGCAGGAAAAAAGATAAAAATAAAGTTATCGGGCCATTTGAGAGAATAATCAATTTTAAAAAAGGTTTAATAGATTGTGATCAATTATCACAGTAAATGATTTTTAAATAATTTTTTTTCATGTAATTCTTCTTATCTTAAGAAAAGCCTTATCTCCTGAAACCCTTTCCTCAAGGAAGAATAATCGACATTTGATGGCTGTAAACCCCGATTAATCTTTCGTTTAATCTTGCATTATTACATCATTTAATTGATAATCTCGCTAAGATTCCGGTTCTATTTWAAAAAAATACGATTAATACCAAGCTTAGTAGCATTTGAGAAGAGTTTTTTTTATAGAATAGATGAGATATTTGTTAAGAATGTAAAAGTTAAATGTAATGTTATGATATTGTTAAGCTCTGTTGATTGCCGTCATTGGCGTTCACTCGCCGCTCATTTCCGCGCGTCCTTCCTCCGTCGTTGATAAAAATAATTCCTAAATCGATCTCTTTTACTGTGCCGAAAAAGGAAAGGCAGCGAAAGATTTGTCTTCCCTAATTCCTTTTTAGATTTCAAATCTTATGTTGACCAAATGGTTTTAGTGGCCAGCATAAGCCTCAAGCAAAACCGTTTACCTTAAAGCCATCTTTCTAAAGCTATCTTGTACGTCTTGTAAAGCTTCTGACAATAATCGGAATGTTGAAGCTTGTTTATTGAAGTTCAACGCTCTACCGTTTATTCACTATTAGATTAAAATCTAATGCAGTACCAACTTAAAGGAATTTTCTTTGCTATAGCTTTATTTTTGCTCTCACTCGAGATCCCCTTTCATTGGGAACCCCGGAACCCTACACTCTTATCATATCATACAACCATCTATTCATTTATTTTCTTCATATCGCATCCTATCTATACACTCCAACAGCAGGAAAAAATACTGTAAATTACTTTAGTCGATGATATTTTTACAGCCTACGCTCTCAATTAATTTTTGTCACACTGTACCAACATCTACTCTTCTACTCCTATACTTTGCCATATTAGCTGTTCTTCGTACCAGCTTTCATYGGAGAGTGGTATATCATGATCAGATGTTTAACGTAATACAACTTTATTTGTTTCTTTCAGCTGGTTCTCGAACACTCTTTTATAAACATTAAAAATCGAAGCTAAATCAACACGAAATATTGACATAACATTGAAAGATTCAAGAGATTTAATGTATGTTACTTAACTTATGTGACAATGACCATAATTTTTGGCTAAATTGACAAACAAAACTGCAGTTGATTGTTAAAATCTTTTTAGCCAATCAGATAGCGTATGCATTGCTTACATACCTGATCAAAATTCAGCCAATCAAATCGATTTCCAGTCGAGACAATGAACAGAGGTGAATTGTTGAAATGTCTATTAGCCAATCAAATAGCGTGAAAATGTATTACTTACGTATCCAATCAAAATTCAGCGAATGAAATCGATTTCAAGTTGAGACGCAAAACAGAGAAGTAAATTATTGAAATCTCCTTAGCCAATCAGATTGCGTGAAACTGTTTTTGCCCAATCAAAATTCAACGAATCAAATCAATCTTATCACAGTCAGTGGAAGAAATCTTTTTAGCCAATCAGATCGCGTAAAAATGTATTACTTAGGCAATCAAATTTCAGTAAATCAAGTCGATTTAAAGCCCCTTTTGAGAATGTAACTTTTACGGTCAATCCAAATGCGCGCACAAAAATAATCGTTATCTGATTTTGATACAAAAAAGCCTCATGTTTTTAGAACGTTGAAATAGAAGACAGTCGTAATACCTCTTCACCTTATTTCCCCTACTCTACCTTCGTTTACATTCTCAGAAACAACTGAACTTACTTGAATATCAGATTAATGTCCTAGTAATCATGGAGGCTTGTTTTGTGGACGATTTCCTATGTTATACAATAATATTTACGTGGATCTAAAACCTTTTTTGTTTGGTAGATAAAAAAGCTTGTATCCTATATATTCATTTCTCAATGCCTCAGCTGCTGGTTTTCCGTGTTCCAGCACCGTCGCCTACCGTGTTTCCCCTACGTGGCATCATTCACTATGCCAAGAAGTAATAACAAAACCAAGCTAATGCATGTTAAAGAAAAAAAAAAAAAAAAAAAAAAAAAAAAAAAAAAAAAGAAAAGAAAAAAAAAATTGAATAAAATATACAGCAAGATGCTATGAGTAACGACTTAAGCCTTTAAAGTTACGGGTTAAAACATATCCTAATGGAACCTTCTTAAAGTTATATTGGATGCGATGCTAACATGCAAACRCAAAAGAAATGCCACATATGTCATCGAGAAAAATCTTTTTATATTTCCATATTTCATGTGAACATGCTGACCAACCGGATACCTTATAAATACAAACGCAAATTAAAGGTCAAAGTTATTTATATTTCTTTAGACGTTTTGAGATTATCTGGTAAAAAGATTGGACGATATCTGGAATAACATAAGTGCATTAAACAAACAGCTTTATAGAACAGGTACGCCATCTATAATAAAAGAAAACCAGGGCCCGGTTGTACATACGGAGGATGGATAGCGCTATCCGGCGGATAAATCCGTATCCAGTGGATAAGTCGATGCTGTTATCCAATAAATTTCTCCACTGGATAAAATTTATCTGACGGATATGGCTTTATGTTTCCCAGACAAGTATTGCGCACGCGTAGAATTGATTCGGAAAGGCGAATCTGTTATTGTTATTGTTGTTGTTAATAGGTTAATAACAATGCCTCGATATCTATTGAATGCGTTTGGCTTTATAATTCCCCTTAACATGGCGGCTTTGTTTCTGCTAGAGTCAGAGTCCTTGAATCTGACTCCAGGAAGAGCTCAAAAAATGGCTGCTTTGAACTTGGCGAGCAACGACTCGCGCGTGGGACGAATGCATGATTCGAATCCTGATGTTTGTTTTTACAACGTATTTATACAAAGAAGAACTATGACCTACCGCTGGTTTACGTGTGCGCTTTTATTTCATATACATGATTAATATTTCTGTAGGAATGTCTGAGAAGGAACCAAGAAAAAAATGGGGGG